CAAGGAGATGCTGCGGAAGGGTAAGGCGGGCCGCCCAAAGGCTCTGCCGATGTATTGTCTTAGATTTTAGAAAAATAAACGGGTTTCTGTCTAGCACTGGGCTTCAAAGTGCCCAAAACCTCTCGAGAGCGGTCACAGGCGGATGCTGTCTGGGCAGCACCCGGGGAAGCACACTGGGGCATGAAGCAACCTGGGGCTCAGCCCTGTGGGCAGCGGAGGGTGGGGTGGGACCCCAAGGCAGCTGGGGAAGAGCCCCGGGGTCCTGTGCCGAGTGTCCTGCGGGAGGTTCTGCCTTCACCCCAGAGCCTGCAGTCCTCCTCACTCCTCTCCCACTTGTCTCAGACCAGGAACATCTGGATGAGGAGATAAACAACCTCCGGAAAGAGCTGCGTGTGAAGGTCAACCGCCTCTTCGAAGCTCAAGGTAAACACTCCTGTTCTGGAACCTTCTCAGTATCTGGGAGCAGATGTCATGTCTCGGGAGCATGCAGAAACTCCTGAGCTCTGTTTGTCCCTGCAGCCGCTTTCCCACTGGCTTTGCAATTCCTTCCCTGCTCCAGCAGTATTGTACGGCTCCTGGTGTGGAGCTGTCACCCACCGGCACGCTAAATGGGCTCCCACATCACACCGGGGTGACCCCACAGCCCCTCTAGAGTTTAACGTGGACCGCTTCACTTATTTTGTAGAAAAATCCTGATTTGTATCTGTGTTCTCTCAGGTAAAGCTGAGCTGAAGGGATTTAACCTGAACCCCATGACCGCTGAGGAAATGAAGCTAATCAATCGCATCCTGGAGGGCTGAGGTGGCCGTGCCATCATCACAGCATGTATTCAGGCTGTCACCTGTGGAGCTCACACTGAAACAGCAGCAGCCTTTGGGGTTGGCAGGAGGACATCGGTGTGCCCAGAGCCCGCCTCGGGTCAGGTCCCTGGCAGGCGCTGGGAAGCGTTTGGCTCCTTGGCTACGACACTGCAGTTTCCTCAGATCACAGACCCTTTCCTGCTCCTTGCCGCAGCCCGGGTGGCAGAGCTGTGCCGAGGCACGGGCTGGGACACAGCGCTGGGCAAACGCCCATGGCCGGGGTGGAAGTGGGATTATTAAAATCAGAGCAGCATTCCTAGCGCTGTGTGTATGTTCCTTGTTGGGTTTTTTTGCGAGTGCTTCTGGAGTTTGGCTTCAGAGCTGGTTCATTGTCGTATCAGGAACAGGAGTAGGAGGAATTGGGAATCCACAGCGTGCCCGAAGCACAGAAGAGGAGTTGTGCGCGCCTGTGGTATTAAAACAAAGCAAAGCTATACATTGGAAGCATGTCAGGAATCTCTTTAAAGATGTGTAGGGAGGGACAGGAGGAGGCAGCATCCTTTTAGTGTTGCTGGGAAAACATATTCCACTGTTCAGTTGGAAGGCAAGAGACCACAGAAACGAGGCTTTCAAAACTAGATGAAGGGATAAAATGTATGTATATTTTAAAAAGCAGCCTGAAGAGGGCTGAGCAGGAATAGTCACTGAGCCTGCCCTGCAGTAAAAGGACAACTGATTTAACCGGGAATAGTTTCTTCAAAGGTTTTAAAATTTATTGTCTTCTACAGTACCCCCTTTAGTTTAAACTTGCTACCCCAGCACAACTTGGTTAAGACCATAAAAAAATTTTAAAACAATTAATCATAATTAGTAATGCAAGACAGTGAGTTTGATTTTTTTTTTTCCCCCCCTGTGTACAGGAAAGTGTATGGGTCCTGCCAAGCCCTTTAGTTTTTGAACTTCTGTAAAGATATTTCTGGATAGAATTTAAAAACTGTAAACACGGCAGTTGTCCTCCTTTCTCCGCCTCTCAAGGTAGCTCACCCGTTCTGTCAAATGTCGCACATGTAACACAGAGCTGGGCCTGGTCCCTTGCTCTCTTCCCTTCTGCACAGCCACACAGAAATTTAAACACAGCACCGCTGTTTTCCTGGCTCCCTGACTGCCTCCCAGCTTCCCAGGGCAGAAGTGCCTTGTCCAGGCAGCCCTGTGCTGCCTTGTCCAGTTCCACACATGCTTCAAATTATGCAGAGTTCCAAAAAATACCCTCTTTCAGACTCCTTAAAACTGAGGTGTGATTTCTTTAAATCTAAAAAGCCAACTACCATTGCTTGACCTAAACTTTAAAATTCTGTAGCTAACGCCAGGTACCCTAAATGTAGACCTGCAAGAAGCGAGGCTGTCCACTTCAGCCTTAAGTTTCAGATACACAGATTAAAAAAAAAATAAAAATAACACAGCCTTACTAGCTGAACTACCTTGCCGGTAGCTTTTTCAGAAAATTGCATCTCTTCTGGAAGCGAGCGGCAGTACACGGTGCCAAGTCCCTGCGTCAGAGCCGCACTCTTACATAACCGGTGTAGCACAGCCAGCCAACGTCTCCGCACCGTGTGATGGCAAGGTTGTTTTTACAGTATCATGGCAACAGGTTTTCTGCTCTCACATGTTTCCCTAGTAGTAGCAGTAGGAGGATGAGGTGCCTGCTTTCCCTAAAAGCTTTGTTTTGCTGTGCAGACTGTGTTTAGCCCCTTTATCTTCTTACACAGTACAGAACTCAGCTCTGCGAGTGCCGATGGACAGCCGAGAAGCCAGCATCCCTTGTGTCAGCCATTGTGAAACAGCTCATTCAAGCCCATTGCAGCTTCCAAGCTGAGAAACCTTCAGAAGCAAGGTGGCCAGCGTCTTGTGCTGAGCCAGCAGTGTCCAGAGAGAAGTGGGAACTGCTGCTGCTCAATATGAGGAAGAGAGAGTGAACTTCATCCATGGTGATCTCTCCCATCCCAAGCTTGAGATCAGCATTATGCTTTCTGCTGTGCAGGAAGATTCCTGAAAAGCTGCTTCAGTTGTATCTTCCTGTCACCACAGCAGCCTGCAATGAAAACGTTAACAGGGGAGTTACACATCACCTTACTCTTCCTTCCCGTAGAGGTGAGGTAATGCGCCAATTTTTGTTAGTTAGAAACTACAGCCACAGACAATTGTAGGCACACTGAGCTGCGTGCTGGAAAATAAAGTTACAATACACGTCAGCCTCTCAGAAGTATGACTTCAGAATCCGAGTACTGCTTCCCAACAGTAAAATACACAACTAGCTTCAGGAAAGTGCCCAATAAATGGTCACCGCAGTGACTGTAGAGTGTTTTTTGCAGCAAAGCTGGCATATAAAGAACTCTGCTGTGACTTTGAAAAGCAGGACTACGAACAAAACCATTCCCACTACATTTACATGCTTGTTTTCAACAGTGCTTCTGCAGCCTGGTTGCTCACATCCACTTTTGGAAAGCATCTGCTCCTTTTGGTCTCTTAATCCCATAAGAGCTCACAGGCCTGTTCTTGTTCTTCCGTTCTCGAGTGAAAGGTGTGTGCGCTCCTCTTGCTGACGCGCAGATAGCTTAGGAACGTGAGCAGGGCACTCTGCCAGCACTGGATGAGTACACACCTAAACGTGTGTTTGCCGTCACATTCTCATTCACCAGAGTGCCCGGGTCTCCCCTGCTGCCGACGGGCCTGTTGTTCCTGATCAGGGCAAAGCCTCCAACATGCTTCTCCTTCCCCGTCAGCCTACAGCATCAAATACATGTACTGAAGTACCTCAGCAATGACAATTATCTGTCTGCACACAGGAATAAACTCCCAGACAATCGGAGACAAAGCTGAACAGCTGAAAGCAGTGGACATCTTTCTACTATTAATATCTGAGGTTAGCACAGTTGTAAAGTCAATCACAAAATGCTGCGAGACAAGCTGCTTGGAACAGAGAGCTCCAGAAGCAGTAAGTGTGGGAGGCACAATGCAGAAGGGCCTCTGAAAGAGAGCTCTTGTGCACGTCCCGGCTCTGACACGGACTGCATTCCCTTTGCAGCCCCATGCTGCTTTGTTTTCCCACTCTGAAGTGGCAGGATGCTTGCGTACTTTGCTCTGTTTCTGGAAATTCATCACTTAATCGCTATAAAGTTTCAAGTATTACGATCAGTTGCCAAGAAAGACATGGAGCCAGACCATCCATTCCAAACATTTTACTAAAACCCCTTAGAAGGTAATAAACACCTTTGCCTGCCTGCCTGCCCTCCCTGTCCACAATATGAAGTCTGTCTTTGAGAAGGTGACACTCGAGTTCGCAGTCCTCCTGGCTACTGGCAGCGAGGGAAGGTGAAGCATTTACCTCCAGAAGCCAGCTGAGGAGATACAACAGTAAATTAGAGAGAAACAGGCAGTTTTGCCAATGGTTTGTCTAAGAGAAACGCCTGTCCACAAAATCATTACCCTGCTAGCAGGCAGGAGTAAGTGTGAAGCAATAGGAAATCCAACCCTAAATCTCTTTCCCATGTGCTGAGCCAAAGAACATTCTGAGCTTATTGCAAAGTTTCTATTCCTGTTCTCAATGATACTAAAGAAAAAAAAATCCCTCTAGCTTCCAGAAAGACGTACAAGTGAAAACCAAAGTCTCACTGAAGCAGTAAATGCCGAGGAGAATTCACAGAATGAGCATTAACCCTTTTTTAGTGGCAGAACGTGGATGTCTCCCGGGAACAGTTTCCTAGCACAACACAGCGTTCAAAGAGCTCTCCTGCGAGGGCCCAGCAGCGCTCTCTGAGCACTGTGACGACATCGAGGACTTTCATTCCGATTCATTTGTTCCCTGACCAACTGAAGTTACTCCAGCTCTTTATGTGCAGGCTGCCGACGCAGTAATTTGGTTTGAGGCTATGAACAGAGTAGATTGTTCAAGCTAGAGCTATCCAGAACCACAGCTGAGCTGCATTTATTTGCTCATTTGAAATAAAGCTGTCCCCAGTGGCACCGTGTGAAATATTGTACTGAAGCTGACACCGGGCTGTAACAGGTATACCAGTTACCGTGTCTTGTTAGAGGGAAGAGTTAAAAAAAATAAACTAGAGAAGACATTTCATAGGAGAGCACCATCAACATAAATCATATCTAGGGGAAATTTCCTTACTTATAGTACTGCTTGCACATTACATGATTAAGGCTGAAAGAATAATAATCCTATTTGCTTGTCATTTCTGAAGTACTATTTGCTGTTGCTGTTTTTCTCAACTCCTGTAATGACAAGTCCATTGTGCTCTCAGGTTTCTGCTGTTGCAATACTTGGGTTGCATATGTAGCAGATAAAATTCTGAGAATTTCAGCTGGACTTTAATGATACATATTTTTCACTTAGCCAGTGAGAAAACCTCTATTTAAAAAAATAATAAACCAGTCTAAAGCCAAATTATGTTTTAAAGGGTTTTGTTGTTGTTGTTTTGTCTTAAATACCCTGAACTCCTGCGGAGTCCTTTTCTCCATGATTAGCGGGAGGGACCTCTTTCAGTTGGGGTCTGCCTTTTAGCCAGTGTACCACAGCCACGGGTTATGTTTAGCGCTGGCAGCCAAACGGCACCGGCTGGAGGTTTGTCAGTGCTGATGGAGCACTGCTGTAAGATACATGAGCAGAAGAAGAGATGACAGTAACCCTCCATCTCTGGGAAGTGCTGTGATACTTGTGATATGCTGACACTTGGAGGGGAGCATATTCCAGAAAGAGCCAAATTGGCAGGGTTTTACAACACAGGGCTAGAGATCCTGCAGACAAAGTTACATGGTGCTGCACCCACCTAATAAACCCTGATGCTCCGAGCAAAAGCAGCTGCATCCTTCCAGACAGCAGCTCCCTTCATGTAAAAGAGCTCAAACCTCTCTACGCTTCACTTGCAGTTCCAGACTGGCTCACTCTCGGCCAGCCTGCAAGCACCTACCTACAAGATGCAGAAGGATCAGGAGACACCCCTATCCCAGGGAAAGCAGCTGGCCTGACGCTGTAACCCCTGGTCTGTCTATTAACGCCCTTATGGTTTCAGATCCTGATGGATCAGGATGTCATAGCCGCAGAGCTCAAAGCAGTGTTTGTCACCGCTAATCACCTTCTGAACACCCTGGAGGCTGTGTATGAAAGCGTTGTCCATATCCGCAAAGAGAACGTCCGTTCACTCTGCCCCACGCTTGGCGGTCGAGCACTGTCCGAGCTGCTCAGTCACCCACTTGCAGCCCGAAGACATCCAAACACAATTATACGAAGCCATTCACAACAGATGACCACACATGCGCTCCACATGATTCTTTTCAATCATCACCCTATAGTCTCCACAGCCCAGCAAGACTTCCTCATAAAAAGCCAGAGACCAGAAGGTAGGGGCTACACACCCCACAATGCAGTTAAACTCTTTGGGCTTGACTACTGCACAGCTATACCAAAAAAAAGTCCCCAAGTCCCCTCAGAAGTTCCCTAACAGCAATCACCATCCTACTTTCTATCAGGGTACTGCAAAGACCCTCCTTTCCCTATAAACAATGGAGATTTATAGGAGGGAGCAGCCCATAAAATGGGAAGTTCAGCACCATCCTCCATTGCTCTCAAACACTGACCCTCATCTCAGATTCATGAGGAATCTGACATCCCATTTAATTTTTTTTCCTCCCTCTCTTTCTCTCAGCTGCCACCTCTCGAGAGAGGAAGCTTAACAGTGACAGCTGCGTGCAGCAATGTCAACCTCACCGTACCGCTGAGGTCTTAGAAGCGAAGGGCTAAGCTGTAAGATATCTTCATCTCAGAAGAGCACTAACCAGAAAGTTATTAGGTTTAAAGCCAAAAAGATCAGCCCTATAGATGTGCAGACAGCTGCACAGCGACATTAAAGCAGAATGCTCACCCAGCTTCTCTCCGAAAGCTGCTATCAACGAAATCACACTTACGGGTAACAGGAGCCAAGGCAGCCCAGTGAAGTGGCTGCAGCACACGTCCTCGGCGTGGCAGCTGGCAGGAGGAGGTCAGCTTGCCTGCGTCTGCCAGGAGAGCCGCAGTGGCAGGCAGCGGGGGAATAGCCTGCAGGCAATGCGTACCCCCCACCTTCCCGGGATCATAAATCAGGTGCACTCTTTTGCACTGCCACATTTGTGAGATGAACATCAGCAATGAAGTACAGAGACAGACAGACACTGAACAAGCAAATATGGAATTCTCACTCTAGAGTCCTCTTCCGCCCCAGTGCCAATTAATCATCTTTCCTGTCTGTAATCAGAGGCGTCAGCCACCTGAGCTTAAATCGAACACTGCATGATGGTATCTTACTAAAAATTGCAGGAAAAAACAAAAATCAGAAGCAATCGAGAGTGGTATCTAGAAAATGAAAGAGTGACTGCCCTGAGCTAGTACTGCACCTCACGGCTGGCACAAAGCTCTTCCTGTCACCGTGCCCCAAAGCTCAGTGCACCTCCACCCAAGGCCGCTTGCTGTACCCCCGTGCTGGAAAGGCTTTCGATCTTTCAGAGGAAGCCTGACCTCTGCTGAACTTTCACAGAGAGAAGTGATGGATTTTCCTGCCTCCTAAGCCATCAAATTGAGGTGGGATACCTTTGGGGAAGATGTGTTAATCAAACGAACGCTATCAAAGTCAATACAGTAGCAAGTGTGACACACAGGGTATCAAGTAGTTCTCTTCCATGAATCACCCTGTCCTTACATTCTGCGAAGCTGAGGAAGAGAAAGGCTGCCAAAATTTAACTACTAACAATAAAACCAGGACTGACATTTCAGCTTCGGTCCTAGCTGATTCGTCAAAATGGCATTTCCAGTGATCTGGTGACACCAGTTTTCTAGTGAAAAAAGACCGGAGAGAGACAGGGTGACAGCGGCAGCGACAGGACAGCCGACTCCTGTAGGTGTTTGCAGCAGTCAGAAGTGACGAGGTTCATCTGATGCATCTAATACCAAGCAGTAGAATTGTACAGTCATTTTCTTACCCTTCTTTTTGGCACACACAGACAGGTAGGACACAGCGATCATCTCTGCTATTCAGAGTAAATCGTGTATTAGAAAAGTGAGCAAATCCACCTCTGTATAACCAGGCCTTCAGTGGGATGTACTGGGAGAAGAGGAAAGGAGCAATTGGGCATTAAGGCAAGGAAATCTATTTCTGGCGTAATGATGGTGGTTTGCACTTACAGATGTCACTAGAACATAAACTCTCAAGTCAAACTTGCAACCTATGAAGGGCAGAGAAATGCATAGTATAACCCAGTGGCTGAAATGCTGCCTAGTGTTAGATGTATCTAAGATCACAAGTTTATATATAAATACATACACAAAGTGTAAGGAGTCAGATCCCAGACAAAATATCTGACCATTTGGGAAAATCCACTGTAAAAAACTTTGTTGTTGGCCTGAGGAATGGTGCAGGACTACGGCATGAGACACGCACAGGAGAACAGAACAAGTCACCAGCAGAAGAAGAGGATGAAACAGGAGCAAAAGAACAAAATGCCTGTTGGATATTCCCCAAAGAGAAGACACGAGAGTCGTTCTCACCTTCTTCAAAGATATCCTTCAGTTTTCAGAACAAGAAAATTCCTTCACCTTGTGACCTGCCAACCTACAGATGGAAGAGCAGAGTTACTGGCTTTAACGTTAGGATTTCCTGTTGTTTCCCAGAATTTCAGTGTAAAAGCCCTGCACGACCTGATTCATCATCTGTATGCAAGCGCACGTATTTAAGGTTATGGGGGGAAAGGGACCCAACAACAGATCTCCAGTGCAAAAAGCTCAGATTTGTAGGTGTTAGGAGGATTCCTGGAGGAAAGGGCAGAGCAGGCAGCCAGCCTATGGGGAAGTTCCACAGTACTGAATAAACAAACTCTGTTCACATGCTTGCAGAAATATAAGTAACGCAACATATGTTGTCGGGAATTTTGTTAAGTCACATTTAAAATTTGTGTACGTTATAGAAGAACTTAATTAAACAGGAAAGCCATGAAAGATGTCAGAGAACTATGGCAAGCAAGAGCAGAAAAATCCTGAAGACAGCTTAAGCTGCATGACACATTAAAAGTGGGTGACGAGTGGCCTGGATAAGCCCCCCGAGAAGCAAGGCTCCCCAGGGCACCTTCCAAGGGAGGCCCAGACTCCTGCAGCCCCAGAATGTCCTGACCTACTCCTGCATCTGCGTGTGGGAGTAGGCAACCTGAGACGTCACAGCACAGCGCTGCTCAAGAGTACAGACCCACAGAAGGAGTCACACGGAGTTTATTTTTACTTGTCTGCAAGTTTTGAGGTCAGCCACAAACTATTTCATTTAAGTTGTTGGTATAATTTCAGTAATCACAGGCTTTTTATATATCCTTGTTTACTCTGTTCTGGTTATTTACCATGTTAATTGAGGTTGTGGGCACAAAATCAACTTAATATAAGGTTTTTTTGTTGCAAATTAACATGTTCCCATTTGTAGAGTTAGATAATCAGTAGCTGCTATCCTCCTGGCTGTAATTCACATGTTAGTTTGCATAATTACCTCCCATTCACTTCTCACAAGTGTGCCCTTACCGATGGGCCTGACTCTCAGGGTAAGGCGAATCCTCCTGTCCCAGCCTCCTCACCAGACCTGCTGTGCAAACCAGAGTGACTGCTCGCTTGCAGGTCTCAGACGGGTGTATTTTTAATTATGTACCACAGCGCAATACTCATGATGTTAAATGGCTTGAATCAGCTGACAGAAACTAGGCGTTTCTCAGCATCCCGTTGCATTGTCATAATTTCTAAAGGAAACACAATTTTTCCTTGGTCCCCAGGGCACTGCCTGAAGTGGAAGTTGCTGTGTTCAGCCCAGCTCCAGGTAGCTATAGGGTTGGTGGGACAAATATGATTCAGAGCATGAGGCTACCCTTCAGGTCTCTAACTGCAGAGCAGAGAGAAGCTAATGCCAATCAAATCCACCCCAACTTGTGCTCCAGCCTGCTCAGGGAGTCTCCCGTAATCTTTTCACGTTCTCAGGATGGAAGTCCACTCAGTAAATTGGCTGGACTTACACCGGCTGACATCTAACGTAGTGGGATTTCCCTGAAACTAAGCAGATGTCTTCATAGCTCCATCTTTAGGGGCTGCCCTAGAATGCCACTTAACCAGAAGCCCAACAAGACAGCTGCTCTGCACACACCCCCACCTTCTTGCACACCTGCAGCTGAACTGAAAGATTTCAGAGCATGAACTTGGCCACAACCCCACACCGAGAACCCCTGGGAGCACAATCTGTTCCTCTGCACAAGAACTCTGCAGTTTATACCTTTGCCACTGAGTTAACTTTGGCTCTACAAACAAACTGAGCTGTCTTTCAACAGCTGAAATAAATTCTTACACAAGAAGAAGTGTTTTGGTAGTATGTGTTGACCAGGAAACAGGCCAGGAGCACTGCTGCTCCTAGGCCACTTTGCTCTGCTCAGTCCTTCCTGCAGATTTCCTACCTATTTTCCTCTCCCTTTGCAGAACAAAGGCATCCATTCACCTCTGCCTCGCTTTCCTTGGGAGAGCACGTACTTACTGGTTTCATAATCCAAGTGATGCCAGGATTCTTGTGAAATTCTTCTACTAGCAAATGGTACTCTGAAGGCATTCTGAAGGTCTTCGGAATAAGTGCACATTTTGTTGCCTCAAGCTTTCCTGCTTCTCTTTCTAAGGCTTCAGATTCTTCACTAAGCAGTTCTTCTGACTCAGCTGGGTAGAAAGAGAAATACAAGGTTCAGTTCAACAAATGCTCCCACGGTCTGACATTAATTGCCCTTGAGAAGTTTCTGGGAAGCAACTGCACCACATACCCCGAGAAGAAAAAAAAAAAAAGAAATACAGATACCATTGAGAATTGCTTTTTCTTTGTGGAGGAGAAGGCTCGATTTCAATGTTCTGTATCTCTGCATGAACACGAGGAGCTAGAACACAGCAGGTCTTACAAGCCCTGTTCCTCCACTCCTCCTGGGGCCCTCCGGTGCAGTGGGCACCCTCCTCTCCAGGGCAGGCAGCACCCACCAGCGCTGCGCACACCCA